TAAGACAGAAGTGCGACAGAAGACAGAAATCCCCCGCAGCCTTCTCAGGGGAAAGGACCAGAACTACCTGCCTCATCCGGTTGTGAAAAGGGTAAAAGACAGCACTAATGAAAAAAACAACACAGGAACCGACTCAGTAATTTTTTTTGGTCAATGTTATCACCCTATGACCTGAAATCATTACCAAAGAAGAGGGGGAAGGGTATATTTGTTTTTAAAGAAGAACAGAATGGTTTAGGGGCCAGGATTTGTCATTTGTTGGCCTCTCTAAGGAGTTCGTATTTAATTTTTGATGTTAAATTTTAAGTACTGAATATTACTTCTAATGTGCCAGTTGAATTTATTTAAGGTGGCTTTAAAGTTTCCTGTAGTTGGAGAAAAAAGTACAGTGAAATCAAAATATGGGAAGCCATCAAGAATTGAGGTGTGTGACTGATTTCTTGAGTTGGAGACTCTTAAACCTTCCCACTCTACATGTTTTCGGTGTGATGTTGATCATGAAGGGCCATCCCACCCTCACTGCAGCAGCACCATAGAATAGGGTGCAAAAACAAAGCATCTGTAACATGATCTGAGAGGCTGGTGCTTTGGACATTGCCATGATGTCTTAACAAACCTTGTTATTTCTCCCTCACTTCAAGTCCAAGCTGCTCAAGAGCTGCTTGACTTTCTCTAGCACAAGAACCGTCCTCCAGGCCTTTACACTCCTGCTAAAATCAAATTCATAGGACCCTGACACTCTGCCTTGGATGCATCAGGCTTGTTTGCATTTTACTGCAAAGCAAATGTTCATAATATGAATACTAAAAGCCACGTCAACTGAGGTTGATGCGAAGACTTAGGAAAAATAATTTCATCTTAGTGACAGCAATTTAAAACTATAATATAAGCCAGACACATGTTAGGATGCACTATCCAAATACCTATTTTGAGAGCAAGTAACTTTCAACTGGGAAGGACTACTATTTTATATGAGGCTTAATCATTATCAATGGACACGATGTGTAAATGTGTGTGTGTGTGTGTGTGTGAATGTAAGCGGTGTGTGGATCTAAGTGTGTGTATGTTGTGTGTGACTGCAGTATGTGTATGTGTGTGAGTTGTGTAGAGCATTTGTGGTGGGTGAGGTGTGGGTGGTCCTTGTTTGTCTGCTCCACCAGAATGGAGGCTCCAAAGACCCAATTTTCTGTGCCGAATTAGGACTGACTTCAGTGCTGAATAAGGATATAGTTTTCTATGCTTTTGAATCCCTAACATCTGAAACGCTGGCTGGCATGTAATATGTGCTTTTAAAGTATTTGCTAAATGAATTCCAACTTCTCTCAGTCAGTCCCCAACACATGTCCCTAAAACATAATTATTTTTTTCAGAGGCCCAAGGGTGTTGTCTTATAACATAAACTCCATTATTTCAGGGCCTTTGAAGTCATGTGTGGGAGGTCAATCTATAGAGCCAAGCCTTTTCACTCATCAGGAAAAATGCAGTTGAACTATTCAGCCTAAGTCTGAATGCTTATGAAACCTACATCTCTGAACTCTTTTCCAAGGACCTGCTTGGAAGGTCAAGGGCCTGGCTTGACCCAACGATCTCCCGCTCTCGCTGCGTTCCACACTCGGCCATGTGCTTCCCTCTCATTCTTCCTCATCTCTCTCAATCCTCTACTCCCTCTCAGGATAGGGAGACCCCTTGCTCAAACCCGCCCTTGTCGCTGTGATCACAGCACTCAATAGTCTTCTTTCCTAGCAGTCTCCATGCCGGAATGACCTTTTGAGTAATGATGCTTCACATGTCCTGTCCCCAGTGTTCCCCTTGCGGGCTGATATGCTGACACGGGTTCAGACTGGACTGGCTGAGCAAAGCGGCTCCCTCTACACGGAACCTTTTATTAGCAGAGGCTCGGAAATGTGCATAGTAGAGGCTGGGGCAATCTAGTTGACTGAAAATGGCAAGCCCAGGCCTGAAGAGGGAACTCAGTGGGCCTGAGCACAGGCTTTGTATGTGGGAGGCCCAAGGTTTAATCTCCGACACTTCATGGTTCCCCAAATACTGAGTGAAATGCCTCCCGGAGCACTGCTGGGTATGCCTTCCTCAACCGCCTCCCCAAAAATGTTAGGCCCAATAAATACTCAAACACCAATAAAGGGGCTTCTGGACCCTAGAGGTCCATAGCTGGAGAGACCAGCCACCATAAAGGATAGCTGTATAGGATTTAGAGATGAAAGAAATTGGTGTGTGAGATCAACAGTTTGTAGACTTTTAACCAGGAAAACAATACCCATCTTGGGAGGAAGGAAGGAAGGAAGGAAGGAAGGAAGGAAGGAAGGAAGGAAGGGAGGGAGGGAGGGAGGGAGGGAGGAAGAAGGGAGGGAGGGATGGAGGGATGGAGGGAATGAAGGAGAGTGGGAGGGAGAAGGGCAGGGAAGGTAGAAGGAAGGAAAGAAGGAAGAAAGGAAGGCAAGGACAGACAGACTTGTTTGCAAAGGAGCTTGCTATGCTACTTGAACAATTCAACAGACCTTTAAGCATGACAGTCTGGAAAAACAAACACCCTGAAAAGGGGGTTGGAGCTCCTGTCCTCTGGTCATTGGCTGAACATCCCAAGTAAGTCACTGAATGAACCTCTGTTTCCTCCACATCTTCAGTTAGAAAGACAGCATCAACCTCAAGAACAGTTAAGGGGACAGGATGGAACAGGCAGGGGCAAAGCATGCTGGAAGAATAAGGAGTTTTGCAAATATGAGCTGGGCAAGCGGAGGTCTCATCAAATGTAGGCCTTAAACAATGGCAGATTAGAACCCTGCTGGGAATCTTGGTGCAGGCTCATTTCAAGGGCCTGAAGAGGTGCTCTGAGTCGGTCCCTACCCCCAGACCCCTGATGTAAACTTTTCAGCCACAGGGAGTCCGAGATCAGTAGAGTGACACAGAAAATAAGGGCAGGCTCAGATGAAGGTCCCAAAGTTGTTCAGTTTTTGCCACGTAGACACATGTGTGCAGGGGGCCAAGAAGACTCATAGCCCAGTGCCCAACACCTGCATATAGATGGAGAGGTGATGGGCCTGGTTGAGAAACAAGATGAGCAGTACTAGACGGTGCATGGCAGGGATAGAAAGGAAAGAAAGTCAAAGAGTTCAGATCTCGGTGTCACTGGTTAGGATGTCAGAATACATTGCCTTCCATCTCTAACTGTTCAAGTACCATTTTCTTTGTTCTCCTTGTGGAAATAAGATGTTATCTTCAGAAAGCACAGACTTAGAAAGGCAGGAGAAAATGTCGGCTAAATGCTTAGGTTTGGGTTTGAAAGACAGGAGTTGGCATCTATTATTCATCTGACTGTAAAGAGACTTTACCTTTGCACACCAGCCACGTGGCAAGCCTCATTAAATGTTGCCGGCTGTGGAGATCTCTCCAGGCCCCATACCAAGCCAATATCACCGGGACACCCCAGATGAAACAGCTGCAATCTCCCCGCCTACTCCAGATGGAATTCTGGTGACCAAAAGCTTCCACAAGCAAGGCCCAGGTATGCAGGTTCAGGACTAAATCTCCAGGCCGCATGGTGACAGAGGACCTGGGCTGTTCCTCCCTGGGTCCACCCCCCAGAAGACTGGCTGTCATGCCCACAATTTGCCTCCAGACGCCATCTTAATGCACCAATAGCCCTAACAATTGAATCCCAAAATGGATTAGTGCCATACAGAGATGTCTCTGGAACCCAACCATTTATAATCCAGGAATTTACATTTACAATCGCAGCCACATGAGCTCTCATGATATTCAAAATGAGCAATGGAAAATAAATTATCTAGCATCTGCCCCTGGCAGGTAGGCTTGAATGGTGGTGGGGAAATTTGAGCAAAACATAATGCCCCAAATTAGAGAGAGAGTATTGGGAAAATTGTCTGCCATAGAGGCAGGGTGAGGACCTAGATGTGGGGTGGGGTGGGGGGGGGGAGGGGAAGGAATACTTGGGACATAAGTGGTGGAAAATGTGCACTGGAGAAGGGATGGGTGTTCCATCATTGTATGGCTGAATTTCTACCATGAAAGCTTTGTAAATCTATCTCACGGTGATACAATAAAAATAAAAAAAGTAACGTGGATTTCGTGTCCAATTCAATCAGCTTAATCAATGACTGAACAAACAGCAGTACTCCTACATTAGCAATGTCCTCCCGTTGTTCATCGATTTGGTCAAGTAGCCACCAGTAACGTCTCCATTGTGAGACTTGTTACTGTTTTTGGCATACTGAATATGCCATGGGGAGCTTGCCAGGCTCTGCCATGCGGGCAGGATACTCTCGGTAGCTTGTCGGGCTCTCCGAGAGGGGTAGAGGATTTTCCACACGAGTATCTATTAATGTGCTTTCACCATCAGCACTCAAACTGGAGTCTGAGGTCCAGATCATCTGAAAACATTCGTTCAATGCGAAAGTAAGCGCCTTAGGACTAGGGAGACAGCTCAAAGGGCTGGAGCTCATGCTGTGCACGTAGGGGCTTTAGGCTCCACCCTGACACTTCCAGGAGCACTGTTAGGCGCGGCCCCATAAGAATTCTGAAAAAGTTCCTCATAGTTGCCAATAAAGGAACTTCTTGGGGGAGGGGGACCTACTAGCAGTGATTGGGGGCTTGGAGCCCACTCCCAGTCAATCTGGACAGGTCAAGGCAGGGCCCACAGAAGCCATATAGCTCTAGCTCTGTGCTGCCGGGGGCCTCCAGGACTACCTTCCAAAGAAAGAACTGGGGTCCTGTGCATGCAAGATGTGTACCCCAACCCCACTGCTATTTCTCCAGTCCCAGAAAAACTATTTCGTGGTGCTGGGGAATGAAGTCTTTGGTCTCCTGCATGGAGCACAATCTCTGTGGTGCGGCCACATCCCAACACTTTCAGTTCACTGCAGGACTGCCGGCTGGCATTCCCTGAAGCAGAGAGAGTGGGGAGGGGTATGAGAAAGGAAGCAGGTCTTGGGACTGGGTCAGACACACCTCCCGGCCACACTCACCGAGTCTGGGTCTCGCTGCTGTTCAAGGAAAGCCGAGAATTCCACCAGGCGAAGTTTGGTTGTGCCAATGGAGCGGCCCTGCCAGGCAGGGACGGAGGGAGCTGGGGCTGACGCAGGCTCAAACCCTGAAAGAGCAATCAAGGTCAAGCCGGTCCACTCACCTCCCCTTGGGCCTGGAGCCTGCCGGGGGAGAACGCTGCAGCCTCTCAGCGGGTGTCTGGCAGTGCTGGGTATGGCTGAGGGTTGGCTGAGGGTCATAGAGATGCAGCAGTCTTCAAGGTCCGGCCCAGAGGCTACTGTTACTGCTGCTGCCCACATCAACGCATTGGAAAACACTGGTCCCAGACAAAGGGGCCCACAGGGCAGACAAGCATTTTTTTCCCCTTCCGCAGTGCTGGGGATCAAACCCTGGGCCTCAGGGTCTCAGACATGCCACATGGCATCCTGGCTGCCCAGCTTTCCTATACCGCTGAGGGCAGGAGGGGGAGAGGAGGCCAGTGAGGGGTCTCTGGGAGGGAGTGCAGCTCTGCTGTGTTCTGCAGATGCCCCTCTAAAGAGACCAACTTCTACTGGCTGCCTACGTCAGTCCCTCTGTGGTCAGGAAGGCCCTGAACTGAGTTCCCGTGCCAGTGTGAGCCAATGGCCCCCGTGGGAGAGCTCAGGCTGCCTGTTTCTTTAGAATCCCACCAGCAAAGGTCTCAGAGGGCAACACCTCGAGGTTCTTCATGAGCTCCAGGTCAATGCTTGCCCTCAGGAAGGTGCAGTCACAGGGCCGGGAGTGAGTTCTCCAAGGAAGGGGAGTGGCAGCGAGGGACGAGGGGCTGCCGGTCAACTCACCTGGAATGGGGGCCGTGACTGCTGGCTGGATGGGGTAGGCCTGCTGCACAAAGGGCTTGACGCTGGGGACAGAGAGGGGACAGTTAGAAACCTTGCCTACACCAGCCAGTATTCCCAGGCTCTGTCTTGGCCTCTCTGAACTTCGGAACCAACCCACTGTCCTTCCTGCTCAACATCCGCTGCCTGTCCCAGGAGTTGGGTGCCCCTGCCCACTGAAAGGTGCCCACAGGATGCTGGGGGCCACACCCCCGCTGGACTCCTCTTTCTTCCCCCTGCAGAGACAAGACTCGCTTATGGGATGTGCTTCAGGCATCCCTTTCTCCAGACAAAGTTGCCCCCAAATCTTTTTTTGGGGGGGGGAGGGGAGAGTTAGACACCCAGCAATACTCAGGGCTTATTCAAGGCTCTGCATTCAGGAATTATCCCTGGCAGTGCTTGGGGGACCATATAGGATGCCAGAGATTGAACTGACATCAACCATGTATAAGGCAAGCATCCTGCCTGCTGTATAATCACTCCAGTCTCTGCTCCAAATCCTTTGAGCATCACTGGACAGAACTTCCTTTCTGCTTTGATTCCAGACTGGTCCTCTCTTTCAGCTGACCAAGTTCATTTCCCCGGTCTCCCTGCCCCTAGAAGCTTTTCTCTCCCACATGCCTTGACCGTAGTGAGTCTGATAAAATGGAACAGGCTCTGTCCCCTAAGCAGGCACTTCTTTTTGTTGTTCTTTGTTTGGGGGGCCACACTCTGTGGTATTGAGGATTTACTCCAAGCTCTGCTCAGGGATCATGCGTGGCATTCCTAGGGGCTCATACCAGATGCTGGGGATCAAACCTGGGTGGGATGTGTGGAAGGCAAGCGCCCTACTGGCTGTGCTATGGCTCTGGCTCCCTGAGCAGACACTTCTCCAGGGGATTCTGACTTGTAGGCTCCGAGGCCGCACAAGGCCGGGCCCTTTGGAGGGGAGAGCCTTCCGGCTTCCAGCTGAGTGAGCACTGGCCCTGAGGGGGAAGTGAGCTGGCAATGCCCCTCCAGGTTTTGGGCTCTCTTGCCTGCCGGAAGTCTTGGTGAGGTAGGGGTCTCGGGATATGTTTCCTTTCTAGCCCCACACCCCTAACATCTCATGCTGAGGTGAGTGGTAGGCCCTTCAGAGGACTTACTCTTGTGAGGATCCTGGCTGGCCTGTCTGGATCATTCCGGGCCAGAACTGTAAAACAAAAATGCGACAGGCTTCAGGATCCCAGCTCAGGATGGCTGTGCGGTGCCATTGTACCACCCCAGCCAGAGACAGTTGCCTCCAAACGCCCCCTGCCCTCCCGAAACATAGCTCTGTGGTCCCCCTGGCACAAGACTGTGGCAGGCACCCAAGGCCTAGCACACTGGTGTGGCCTCTCCTGCCTCTCTCTGAAAGCAGCGGAAGGCGAAGACCGAGGCACGGCTCTGCCACCTTGTCCTGGGCACCCGGCAGACATGCATGAGGCGGAGGGCTCACACACACCATCTCACTCACTGACGTCAGGCACACCTCCGTTTTCCTGTCTGTCATTCTGGAATGCCCCGTGTCCCATGCTGCCCCACGCCCTTGGCATGGCATCTAGGCTCCAGGCAGAGAGCGGTCAGATCTCAGAAAGAGAGGCCTGAGGCCCTGAGAAGCCGCAATATCTAGGGGCGTCCCTAAGGCTTTTTTTTTTTTTGAAGGAAACACAATCTTCTGGTCCTGGGTTTGAGTCCTGGTGTCACTGGGCATGCTCCGTATGTGGGGGGGGGGGGAACCCTAAGAGCATTTAAGGTGCTGGGAGAGTGGCAGAAGAGGGGAGATACTTCTCAGTCCTTGGCAGATGCAAAGTGAAGATGGTAATGGAAGACTGTGCCAGGAAGGGGCTAGTGGCCTTGAGAACAGAGGCTCTGAGAGCCCAGGGCCAAGGAAAACAGCTGTGGCAGAGGAGAGGCCAGATGGATAAGGTCCTTGCTTTCCTTCCTTCCCTGGCTTCTGGGGCTCAGGGCCCCCCCTTCCTCCACCCCTTCCCTCTCCCCTCCCCCCTGACTCCTGCCCCTTCTTTCCCTCCCTTTCTTCCTTCGCCCCCCAGAATCAGCTCATCCCCAAGTGCCTTCCCCCCTCCCCCGCAGCTCACACTTGACCCAATGATGGATGAGGAACGCAGGGTGGAGGCGTCCATGGACTCCGCGCTCCAAGGGGCCCCTGCTGCCCCCTCCGGCTGTGACTTACCCCCGGTGCCCCCGGGAAGGTGGGGCGTGGGATCCCCGGCAGCCCCAGCTTATTGTGGATGGCGGTGGCCGAGACGATCTGGGCGGACGACATGGCGGCCATGTGCTGCAGGGCCTTGTCCTTGGCGGTCTGATCCTTGGGGCGACAGGGACACAGACTTAGGACAGCACGCGTGGCTGGGCTAGCGGCAGCTCACACAGGCACAGCCACGAGCACGGGGACTGAAATACAGAGCCACAAAGGAGGCCGGAAAAGCAAACATGCACGGATAAATAAACACAGCCAGAGGCTAAAACACACTTAAGCTTCCAGAACTCACCACTGGTTTACTGAGAACACTCAGTAGCCAGGTTTAAAGAAAAATTTAAAAAAAAAAATTTTTTTTAAAAATGTGTTTTCCCTCCAAATCCATTTTTAAAAATGATGGGAAGCTGTGGAGAAGAGGGGACAATGTATTTCTTTTTTCCAGCTTCCAAAAAGGGAGATCTCTGCTGTGACCTCACACGCTCCAGGAAAGGAAACTCCAAGGCTCTGCTTTGCGGGGGACAGAGGGCAGGAGGGAAGCGGGGCTGCCACTTGGAGACAGGAGCGTCCAGAGCAGGGACCCTGTCCTGTGTGCTGGCTCAGTGGCTGCTGGAGTGGTGGGGGAGGGCCACACACACTGGGTGGCAGAGGCTCAGAAGCAGGGCGGGAGGGGGGGGGGGAGGGAGGCTGGGTGCAGGGGGCGGGAGGGAGGGGAGACGGCTATGCAGCATGCTGGCGGGGCACATGCGTCCTCAGACCTCCCCGCCGCAGCGCCAAGGCTGCTGGGTTCTTTCTCAAGCCAAAGGCATGGGTGATGCTACGGGGAAGTGGCTTCTCCTTTTCCTAAGTGGGTCTTTTCTAGAAAAGCCAAGGCTGATGACACAAAGCTAGCCAAAAAGTCTGCCAAGCACAGCTAAAGTACAAAAAAAAAAATATTCAATTTGGTGAAAATACTTACCATGCTTGTTACCTGGATACAATAATAAAAACGTGTTAAAAGGATTGCTTGGAAAAGCAGGGTTATATTTATTCTTTACGTTTAAAAATAGGTCAGGTACCCCAACAACACCTGGGTACAATGCCTGGTCAGGCGTGGGCGTTTCTTGTGATTGGCCCACCCAACAAGGAGCGGGTCCGGAGCAAGAAAAAAAAAACAACCCAACTCTTGGGAGCTGGCTCTGGGGCTCTCCTAAAGGAATAGGGACGTGGTCAGGCCCTCCAGGGTACAGGCAGGGCTGAGCCTGATGTGAGGAGAAGCCTCTCTCTTGGACCCAGCCCAAGCCCAGTCTCTATAAGAGATGTAGGGAGCAGGGGTGGGGAGCAGAAGAGGGGAGCAGGTGGGTGGGGTGGAGGGGATGGTGATATCCCAAGTGAGGGGCCCCTTGGGTCTGTGCCACAGAGGCTTCTAGTGCATGAAGGTAGAGGCCAAGGGAGGCTAAGACAAAGAATTCCAGGTGAGTTCCAGGCTGGCACCTTTATTTACTCAAAAGTAGTTAACAGGCATGCTGAGGTGTCAAAGAGGGGGAGTGAGGACACACAAAAGATTGTAAACCATGGTGCATAAGATAATTAAACAACAAAATCACAGCCTCCAAAATAGGGTTCCCCAGGAAAGAGCAACTAGGTGCTCTTCCCACCCCCACCATCACCACCCCCATTCTGTCTGTCTCCTCCGGACCAGAACGCTGATACCTTTTCTTGAGGGTGCAGTTGGGTGGTTGGGGCCTCACCTGGCCTTACTCCTGCCTCTCTGCTCAGGTATCCCTCCTGTGCCCACCAGGTGCAGGGCACGTGCCTTAAGCACTGTGCTATTTCTGGGCCCACTTCTCTTACCCTCAAGAACGAGCAGTACCCCTGGCTGAGCTTATTGATTTATTTGGTTTTTGGGTCACACCCAGCAGTGCTCAGGGCTTACTCCTGGCTCCGCTCAGGTTATCACTCCTGGCAGGCTCAGTGGACCGTTTGTGGTGCCAGAGATCAAATCTGGGTTGGCTGCATGCAAAGCAGGAACCCTGGAACTATTTCTCCACTGTACTATTTCTCCAGCACACCTGGCTGAGTTTAGTACACTTCCCCGGCTCAACTGAAAACAGAAGGAGCCTCACATGGTAGCTTTAGCGGATGTACAGGGGCCCTGTGAACATCTGGAAGGGAAGATGCTATGGCAAATGACACCCTGGGGTCCTGTGTGCCATGGGGAGCTGAGTGATGGAGGGATGCTTCCACATCTGCTGGGGTGGCATTAGCCTCATTCAGGTCCCACGTGCTAAATGCTCTAACTTAGGGTTCACTTCCCCAGTTAGCTGTTCCTTTCGTGGACTAATCAAATCATTTTAAATACTAAGAGTGCCAGAGTAAGGAAGGCAGGGGAGCATGGTAATACATTGGGTGTGTGCAAAGGACCCACGGCTAAACAGTCTAAGGCACACAGTGCCAGTCAAACCCCTACTGGCTGCCCTGTGGGGTCACCTGTCAGCTGCCCTGCCATGTTCCAAGGGGTAATCTTTGGATCATCAACAGAAACAGAAGTCCATTCAGACTGACTCCCTCTTTTATCAAGAGAACCTTGACATCAATATTTTCTCTTGGGACCAGTCACTTTGGTTTCCAGCCCCAAAGTCAACTGAACCCACCACAAGAATTCTAAACGTCTTCAAGGTGCTTGCTGAAACTCAACCCATGGCATGGGTCAGACCTTAGGTACCATCCCCAGAAGAGAACAAGCCTTACAACCTCACCAGGTTCCGGGCTAGGGACCTGGGAAAGGGCAGGCCAGAGCCCCTGCCCAGCTGGCTGATGTGAATTCTGAGGAACAACTCAAAACAGTGGAGTGCTTGGCTCTATCCCAGAAGCTCATCCAAGGGTCCCTCTTGTGCAGCCGAGGCTTATGTTTATGAAATGCTGGTGACAGACAATTCTGATTGCCCCCCCAAAAGAATGTGTTTGTGTTTGTGTGTGTGTGTGTGTGTGTGTGTGTGTGTGTGTGTGTGCGCACGTGCATGTGTGCACGTGCACGTGTTTGGGCAGAGAGACTCAGAAAGCTCAAGTACAGAGCCAGAGAGATAGTAGAGCAGGTAAGGCATTTGCCTGATTATCAGGTGACCTGGGTTTGATCCTTGGCATCCCATATGGTACCCCTAAGCACTGCCAGGAGTAACCCCTGAGCGTTCTGCTACCCTATCACTATCACCAAATAAAGAGAAAGCTAAAGTTCAGGTCAGAAAGAACAGAAGCCCCCTGTATCCAGAACTCACTCTTGCTCCATTAAGGTCACTTCTCTTTGCTGGGCTTACTGCAAAGTCTTCAATGTTAAAAAATGATTTAAAAAAAATAGGGGTCAGAGTGCTGGATGGAGTGCTGGTGGTTCTCCAAGGCCATAAGAACGGCCTGGTGGTGCTGGGAGAGTGAGGTGGTGTCAAGGATCAAACTCAGGACCTTTCATGTATGGGTGAGTGCTCTACCACTTGAACTATGATGTCCCAGGCTCTCAAAATTTTCTTTATTGAGCAGAAGTATCCGTCAACAAGGAGGCAGCATTATCTTTGCTGTCCTGGTGACCCTGTTTCAGAACTTAGTGTTTTCCCTTTGTTAAATAGAGAAACATTACTTAGTACTCAGACAGGTTCCCAAAAGAAAGAAGAGCAAATTAATTGCTCCAGAGCTACCAAAATGACCACTTAAAGGTCAGCCTGCCTGAGGTTAATGACTGTATTACCGTGGGCAAGTCACCTAATTCTCTTTGTCTACAAAGAAGGCTTTTTTCCTCCAAAGCCACTGGTATTTGCAGCAAGGTGTGCCAAGTTCCATTATAAGCAAATACCTCTCAACACATGTAGCCCAAAACCCACCAGTGAAAAGAGAGAAAGGTGTTAAAAAGTAGGACTGCCTGTCCTAATAGAAAGCCAAGTGTGGAGACGAAATTTTATCTCAAGTAGAGGTTCTTTTTGTACTTGACCTACCTATTGGAGAATAGACAATTTTCTGCAAATGGACTAAAATGTCTGTTCCAGTGATTTCCTATCTTTTGTAGTAGAGACACTCTGCCTACTCATTTAATTTTATAACAACTGCCCTTTATCTCTGCTATACATTTAAAAATTAAAAGGTGTGTATACATGTGTGTGTGTGTATGTAAAATTACCTATGTATATGTAAACCAGTAGATAATAAGCAATGCCAGGGAGATTTTGAAATCAGAACTGAGAGCCTGGCCATAGACCTACTTATCCTGAAAGGGGAGAATGAGGGGATGAAGGCTGTCTCGCTGAGCGATTTCAATGGAAGGGTCTCTGAATTGTCATTTGCTGCCCATAGAGAGATGCCTGGTTTTGAAAAAATGTTAACTCTGTCAGACCTGAGGAAATTGCTTCTCTGTGTCATTCTAGTCTGATATCCTCGACTTTTCAATTTTCTACTCTATTCTCACCACTCATCCTTAGACTAAAGGAGAATAGGGGAGGGGTGTGATAATCTATGGAATAACTGATACTTGAATAGGCCAGAAAGAGGACTCAAGGAGCTGGATTGCATGTCCTGCACGTAGGAACACCACTTTTGATCCCTGACCCCTCTTGGTCCCCTGAGCAACAGCAGAACAATGTCTGGGCACCATGCCAGGGGGAAGCACTTGTTAAGTGTGAACCCCCCCCCCAATATGTTAATAATAATAGCACTGTAGCACTGTCCTCCCCTTGTTCATTGATTTGCTCGAGCGGGCAACAGTAACGTCTCTATTGTGAGACTTGTGTTACTGTTTTTGGCATACTGAATATGGCACGGGTAGCTTGCCAGGCTCTGCCATGCGGGCGGGATACTCTTGGTAGCTTGCCAGGCTCTCTGAGAGGGACAGAAGAATCGAAGCTGAGTCGGCTGCATGCAAGGCAAATGCCCTACTCATATTAATTTTATTCAAGGTGTCCTCACACCAATATCTGAGATGCAGAAGAAACTTATGAAAGAGGGGCACCCTTTAATCTTGAAAAACTGTTAAATCAATACTGTGTTGAAGTCTGTGATGCTTTAAGCTCACAGGAAATACTCTGAGCATATTTTTGCATATTTGAGAGCAGGAGTGAACAAGAGAAATGTGAATGTGTGCTAGGGAAAAGGCA